CTGCCCCCCCGGCGAGCCGCAGCCCCGTGGCCGAGTAAGGCTTACCGATCTCTCTTCTTTTTTTTAATTTAAAAAAAGGAGAATTCAGCTCAAAATGCTTCAGCTTATTTTATTGATCAGCTCAGCCTCCCCTCCGGCCTCTCCCGCCAAGCGTTCCACCCCGGTACAAGCAGTCCCTGGCAGGCAGAGGCGACGCAGCTCTAATTTAAAAAAAGGAGAATTCAGCTCAAAATGCTTCAGCTTATTTTATTGATCAGCTCAGCCTCCCCTCCGGCCTCTCCCGCCAAGCGTTCCACCCCGGTACAAGCAGTCCCTGGCAGGCAGAGGCGACGCAGCTCCTGCCGGCTTCCAGCCCAGCTCGGGGGTGCCCGTGGCCCAGGGACTGCGCCATTCCCAGCTGCTGAGGAATGTCAGGAGCATCTTTGGTCCTTTGCGGTTCAGGCAGACAACTCAACGCCAACAAACACGCGTCAGGGCTACGGGCGGGTCTGACCCCGCGGGGCAGGAGCCTGCCCTCACCCTCGCTGCCCGGGACAGCCCGGGACAGCCGCTGGCAGGCAGCAAAGGGCAAGAAGGGGCAGATCCAGCTCCTGCTCCAGCTCCTTCTTGCTTCAGAAAGGCTGGTTGGTGCCGCGGGGGACAAAGCCTGGACCTGTCTCCCCGCTGCAGACTTTGGAGACGTGCTCCGGAGCCCGCTGCCGTCCCTGCCCCGACAGACACGCGGAGGGGTCGGCTGCGGAGCAGCTCCAGGGCTCCCGGCCGCGTTGCTTGTGCTTTAAGACGGCGAAATGGAGAAGCTCACTTGTACTGTGGGGGGAGTCCTGAGGGTTAAGGCCATGACAGTCAGGGGGAAGTAGCGCGGGCGGTCCTCCTGAAGAAGTACGCCCAAGTCCGTGGCTGTTGCCCTGTGGCTCTGTGTCATTTTAATGAGAAATTAAGACGACATCCTTCGAGCAACAGGCGCACGTCCCAGGCAGGCGGCAGCAGAGTTCCCGAGCGACCAGAACTGGTGTGACGGTCCCGCGTGTCCGATAACGACCCATCCCTGGCTCTGCGAGGTCCCATCGGACACGAACTTGACGAGGCTAGTTTACCAAAGACACTTTGAGATACGGATATAAAAACCACCACAGTGATGAGGTCTGTAGACTCCAGGCTGGGAAACTTCAGCCATTCTAGTGAGAGCTTTGGGATTTGATTTCTTACATTCGCAAGTCAGGATGTAAAAACAAAAACAAAGCAAAACAAAAAAAAACAAAGGGATGAATCACTGTCTGGGAGCCCGAAACGAACCAGGGCTCTCACAGCAGCTCTTCCCTTCCTCGCTCATAAAATACATTTCCAGGGGCGGAGTACCGACATCTACGGGCGTAAAACACAGCACAGAGCGGGGCTGGGAAGAGTACACGAAACAAAACACGCTCCACCGCGTTACAGAGAGAAGAGGTAGGTATGCTTGAGCCAAGCCCCCGAGTCCGCCCTCTTAAGCCACGTCTTTTGTTACCAAATTAGTCACCTCTTGCAGAAAAATCAAGCCAGTGGGGGGGGGGGGGGGGCAGTCTCGGCCCCCCGGAGCTTCATAATGCACTTTGGGCAGGAGAAGTCGAGCTTGAAAGCACAGATGAGAGTTGAGCATCCGGGGAGGGTGGTGAGAGCAAAGCTCCGTGTTATTGCTAGTGTGTGGCCAACCAATTAAATCCCTGGGAGTAGAGGCAGCACAACAGCAGCAGTTGTGCCCGTTTAAGGCAGCGTTTCTACTAAACTAGGTTCCTAAACCACAGCTATCTCCTAAACATGCAAGACTAACAGCTCCCATTTCAAGAGAGACACCAAAGCAATTGGCTAAGCTGGTCTTCAAACTCACGACTTGATGCTCCTCCAGAATAAAGCCTTTCCCGAGCTGTGCGATCCCTGGTTCCCCTCCTCCCGCAGCCCCAGACCTCTGCCCCGAAGCCCCGCGCAGCCTGGGTGAAGGAACCCGAGGCAGGTGCCAGAGAAGCCTTTCCGAGCGGGCAGGGGAACCTCGTGGACGAGCACCTCGCTCCGGAAAGGGGAGTTGAGAGCCGGATGGAGAAGGCAATTGGATACGCACGAGGCGTTGAAAAAGGTCCTTGAAAGCTGGCCTGGCAGGGAACCAAGGTAGATGGCAACCTCTGAAAGCCAGAGGACAGCAGGAGCTTTTCTTTCACGGTTGCCATCTCCTCAGCCACCTGCAAGCACAGGCAGGGAGGCGCTACCGTCGCAGAGACCCGAGAAGCCCACGGTTCCCTGGACGGCGCTCACGGGTCCAAGGAGATCCCGTGGGTCCAAGCACCGCGTCCGGCAAAGCGCTGCTGGCTTAGACCAACCACTGCCTGAGCAACAGTGGCCAAAAAACCAGCCGGTTAACTTGAACCTTCCCTACGGAGCCCCTCAGCCTCGTGCCTGTGGCCAACACCCGCAGCCACCCACCGAGCACGACCACCCCGCTCACACGCTCCTGTCCGCCTGCGTCATCTGCTTGATCTGCCGGCTGTGGACCACCTGCTGAGCCCCCTCCGCGACTTGGTTTAATCGTGTCTCTAGAGCGCTCCGGAGGTCGTTTACTTTCACATCTGGAAGGGGGTTCAGGCCAATGAACACCCCCGCCCCCTGTGCAGCCGCCTCCTCCTCCTCCTCCTCCTCCTCGGTAGGCAGCAGGTCCCGTCTCCTCCGGCGGAGGTCCAGGTCCGCCTGCAGTTTCAGGTCCCGGTTCGGTTTGACATCATGGTCCGGCCTCTGGTCCCCCTGGGCAGCCGCTCCTCTCTCGGGCTTTTGGGCAGGAGCGTTCTCAGGGCCCGGTTTCTTCTCAGCATCGTTTGAGAGACCCCCATCCCCGTGCCTCTGCTTGCTCCGGAGACCTCCCTGCGGGTTCTGGGCCACGTCTTCTCCCGAAGAGCTTCCTCCTTTCCCTCCCCTTTGCCGGTTGCCGGCCGCTGCAAGGCCTGCTGCCGTCTGCCAGCACCCTTGCCTCCCTCGGCGTCTGCACCTCTCTGACGCTCCCGTAGGTGCTGCTCGCTCTCTGCCACGTTCCTTTTACTGGAGGAGTCCAGCGCAACTGCCAGGTCTTTGGGCTCCACCTGACTCAGTGCTTTGGCTTTAAGGTCTGCTCCTGAGTCTCTTGGCAGCAGATCCCGTCTCCTCCGGCGGAGGTCCAGGTCCGCCTGCAGTTTCAGGTCCCGGTTCGGTTTGACATCATGGTCCGGCCTCTGGTCCCCCTGGGCAGCCGCTCCTCTCTCGGGCTTTTGGGCAGGAGCGTTCTCAGGGCCCGGTTTCTTCTCAGCATCGTTTGAGAGACCCCCATCCCCGTGCCTCTGCTTGCTCCGGAGACCTCCCTGCGGGTCCTGGGCCACGTCCACCACGTTCTCCCGAAGAGCTTCCTCCTTTCCCTCCCCTTTGCCGGGCAGGTCCCGCTGCAAGGCCTGCTGCCGTCTGCCAGCACCCTTGCCTCCCTTGGCGTCTGCACCTCTCTGACGCTCCCGTAGGTGCTGCTCGCTCTCTGCCACGTTCCTTTTACTGGAGGAGTCCAGCGCAACTGCCAGGTCTTTGGGCTCCACCTGACTCAGTGCTTTGGCTTTAAGGTCTGCTCCTGAGTCTCTTTCCAGACTCTTTCCTGCTACTCCCTGAACTTTGGCAGCCCCCAGCTGTTCTCTTTGGATGGGAGCTGTAGCTACTTCCACGGCTTTCAGGGAATTCTTCTTCTCGTGGACGTCTCTTCCAGCTTTGGCTTCATGACCTCCTCCTAAATCCTCCGCCAAGGGCTTCTTTTCTAGGTGGTTTCTGGCTGCCGGAATGTGTTGGGCATCCCTGTGAAGGGGATCCCAGTTCTCTGCGAGATTTTTAACAGCTCTGTCATTCTCCTGTGGCGGCACCTTCCGCTCCTTGGGAGGAACCCCCGGAATCTCACGCCTGTGCCCAGCCTCTTCCAGCTTTCCTGCAGCCCCCCTGCGCTGCTCCGCAGAGTCAGCAGGCTGCCTGCCCGGGCCCTGCGCAGGGTGCTCCAACAGCTCTTTGCTGAGCGGCTTTGCAGCAGCTTCTTGCTTAGCTCCGAGGCCCTCGTCCTCCCTGCTCTTGGAGAGAGGCACAGCGGGCTCCTGCTGCGTTTCCACTGCAGAACAAAAACCGACATGTAAAAGCTTTTTCTTACGAGTGAGAGATTCCCTTCTCCCACCACCCCGTTCTGCACAACAGGGGACAGGAGAAGAGATCACACCATCAACGGCCACGCGGGAAAACAAGGAGAGCCCTGGGGGAGAGCGTCATCCCTGTGATCAGGGGCCGGGGATCCCCACCTCGGAGGTCAGGGTCGGACACAGGAACGGCTTTTGCAGAGTGGACTCTGCCATGTGCCAGAGGGACTCGGATCTCTGCTGGCCTGATCCTAAAGCTGCTTTGAGCGGTGATCAGCCCGTGGAGGGGTCACGCTCTTTGGCGATGTCCTTACCTTGCTTTGGCTTCTCCTCTCCTCCCTCCTCCTGCCTTTGCTGGTGGATCTCCTTGTGCTGCTCTTCAATTACAGCCAGGAGTTTTGCCTGCTGGTCAAGTAGCTGCTTCTGCTGTACCTGCTGTTCTTTGATCACCTGCAGCAGCACAGCATGATCAAGCAGTTTCGCCTGCCCCGCTTCTAGAAAAGGGAAAAAAAAAGAAAGAAAAACCAATCCGTGACCCAAACCCCTCACTAATCATCTCGCAGCGTTGGAGGGGCTGCAGGGGCTTTCCTCGGCAGGAAGGTCCTACTCTGCAAACGCTGCCCATTTGCCAGGAGGGAGGGAAGGACGCGGTACGGCTCTGCTGCTGGCGCTGACAGCCGTCACGGCGGCACCGCTCCGGCGTACCTCCGCCGAGGACGGCAGCCAGAAGCCCAGACGGGCTGCTCACCAGCGCACGTGCTAAGACAGGGCACTGCCCTCCCGAAAAGACGTGGGCGGAGGGATCGAAACCAAGCTCTCGTCATTGACTGCTCAGGGAGAAGAGCCACAAAGAGGTACAGGGGAGCAGGTCCGCTGGGGTCCCAGCGCAGGGAAGGACGAGGCGGCTGCTTGGCACAGGAGCTGGAAGAGGACGGGACCGGCAGCAGTCGATCGAAAGCGAGGGGCTCGGCTGCCCGAGCAAGACGAGCTGCTTTTACAGCTGCCTGCGGTGCCTGGGGAAGCCCCAGCGCTGCTGCAGAGCGGCTCTCTAGATCACCTCTTCAAATGCACTGCAAAGACTTCATCCCAGCTAAACCGAGCCTGGAAAGGCCACAAACAGCAAATGTGCAATCTTAGGAGGAGCTGGAAGAAGTCAGCCAAGGCACAGCACCGGGAGCCGCCCTCAGAGGGAAACTACCCGCACGGTGGGATAAACCGACACGGAAACATCGACCCAACACGTGAGGTACAGATGCCCAGCTGGGTCTTTTCAGGGGGCAAGTCCTGGGTTACAGCCAGAGCGATAAGAGGCTACTGTTGCCTCTTCTCCCGGCTTAGCCAAGCGAAGGTCTAGCCTGGCCCACAGCAGGAAAACACCCACCGAACGATCCTGCCAAAGGTTTTGGCTTTGAGCAGGGTGAAAGGGCTGGGATCCCGAGCAGCAATCAAAGGTTTAACGGCCGAGTACTCTCGCGCGCAGCAGGGCAGGTCGTCGGGCAGGTTGAAACCACAAGCGGCACAGAAAGTCAGCCCCACCTCCCGCCGAGCCGAGACACCACCGCAATAAAACTGAGCTCCCTGCGCCACGTAACAAGAGGAAATCCCTGCCCGCCGGCCCTTCGCAGCCGCGAAGTCACACAAAACAGACGAGTGCATTTCGGGCCAAGCAGAAGTGACTCACATTGATTCACTCGCTGCAAGCGACACGTCACGTACAAACTATGAGTCCCAGGTCTGCACGGAAACATTGCTGCCTTTTCTCTGCCTGGACAGACACCCAGACGTATCGTATCGTATCCGGAGAGTATGAACCTGTGTGTCGCTTGCCTCCCACGCCAACGAGCAGCGTTCCTCCGAAACTGAAGGAGTTTCTAGACTATTATGCCCCAAAGGAAATAATGCCAAAATTAATAGCCTGTAAAATGCCATTTAAATTAAAAAGGGATGCTGTCCAGGTTAATCCTTCTCCAGCACGCACTGCCTCCCCCTGTCCCGCTAATCACCCACAAGGTGATTACAGAGAAATATTTCCAGTTCACATTATGGCGCTGTTAGCCGCGGGCCCCTGGCGTTCCCCTTCCGCTCCGTTAACAGAAAGCTGGGCTGCGACAGGGAATTTGGTCGTTTCAAGAGAGCAACTGACTTCTCGAGATCTGTTTATTTTTCGCGCTTTGCTCGGAATAAACAATGAAAACAGAAGTCATTTCTACTATCTCGCTCTCCAAGCCTGCCAGGTCCCAGCTCGGCACGGGAATGTTTGGGTTGAACAGGCGGCAGGCAAAGGTTTAATGCCAAATCAAAGCGTTTCTCGTTGTGTAACTCCCGTATTTGTGCAGCGCGCCTCTTCCACACAAACAAAAGGCAACGCTATCTCCCGGCTCCTCCTTTGACCGGGGGGAAAGCAGGCCTCAGCCGGTGCTTTGGCTGGATTTTAACAGGCGCTCTTCCTAAAAAACATCTTAATTATAAAATGAAAGCACTTGAGTTCACACGGCCCAGGGCAGCTACATCCGGAGCATGCAACAACGGTCCCGGTGAGGCAGCTGTTTGCGGAGAGCATCCCCGGAGCTATGCGCCCACCGCCTCGCTCCTGCAACGCCTTTTCAACCTTTCCACCCTCTCCCAGCCTCTGGGTACGAAGCGCAGCTCTAGGCAGAGGAGCAGAACAAGCCCAGAGCACCTTTTGGTGACATCCTCATGGGAGAACATCCCCGGCAAGTCCCACACAGACTGAGATGGAAAACCCCACGGAAGCTCGTGGCCCTTCATCCTCCTTGAAACACAAAGAGCCCTTATAGTCCACACCTGCCACTAGCTTTTTACGCTCAAGTTTTTGAAGTCCCATTGCAACGCAGAATGGAAAGAAAATAATTAGAAAACCCAAGATGTAACCACCAAACAAAAGAGGAGGGCGATATGCTCCCCGTGAGCAGAGCCTGCCCGCTGCCATCGCTCATCAGACCAAACGCCCGTCACCTTGGACCGGAGCAGCAAGGGGTGGCACGAAGGCAAGGAGCCACAGGACCACAGCACGCACAGGCTGCGAGTCCGAGCTCAGGCTCCAACCCCTCTCGCAAGGCAGAGGTCGAAGGCAGCGAGCTCAGCCTGAGCAAGGGCTCACCGCACAGTACCAGCATCGAAGCTCCGGGGGCAGGGCTTCGCCACCGTTCCCCCGCACGGCCACGTGCCCAGGTCTCCCCACGCGTTAAAGCCTGCGTCTGCCCCACGCCGCGAGGCTGTAGGGCGATGCCCACCCACCTCCCCACCGTGCTGCCGGATCCCCCCGTTTCGCCCAAGCCAAACGGTTTCGCTCCGGTCGCGCTCTTGCCGGGGCAGCACCGCCTGCGCTCGAGCAGCAGCCGGGCCCGGGTGCCAGCGTGACTCACGTCCTCGAGCGGCCCTGCCAGGGGCTGCGCCATGGAACGAACGGCCAGCCCGCGCCGGAGGCGTGAGCCCACTGGAGACAGGCACTAATTGCTGCCGTGGCGGAGGTGACTACGGCCTAAAGCTATGCGCTGGCAAGAGCCAAGAACAGTGCTGGCTGGCACGGTCCTCCTGCAGAGAGAAATCCTGCACTCACAGCCCCGGCTCCCAGGGGGAGCTCAGCGCCTTCCCATCCCCGCACACCCCGGGGACGCGTGCTCACCCTCCAGCTTGCTCTCCGCCTTCTCCTGTTGCTTCTCCTCGGTGTTTCGGATCTCTCTCGGCTCCAGCTGATCCGCTCTGTCCGGGAGGGGCAGGCCCTGCTTTTCACCTGCGGACGAACAGATCGACAGACCTTTAGCAGTCAATAAAGACGCTCCAGCAGCAGATGTTCCCTTAAAATGACTCCGCGTTGTGCTGTCCCTCCCTGCCTAAGCCGGCACAGTTTATATTCAACCCAATGACTGCGAGGGAAGTAATAAAAAAAAAAAAATTTAACAATCTTATAGACTCGTGGCAGCGAGCCAGCGCTAACTACCTCAGCCAATTAAAATGCAAGAACGGTTCTAACTAGCTTTTAGACGGGCACTTAGCAATGTGTTACCTGTCAAGATCTCCCGGCTCCGTGTCCCCAGTGAGTTCGGAGACGCACAGGAACAGCATGGCACCTGACATTTAGTAGGCTAGCAAACAACTGTTTGACAGATATTATACTAGCTGTCAAAGCCACCAGATTCCTCCTTTTCCCCAACAGCTGCTGAAGGGGCTGTGCACGCTCCACATGCTAATCTCGTGAAATTAAAAGGAAACACTGGGATGTAGGTAGGAATAACCAAATTGCCCGGTTTCCGGGGGGGGATTACGGGCCAAGAGGAGAGTTTGTTCAGACGAGCCGCCGTGGAGGGAGCTTACCAGAGTCAGCTGCCTTCTCCATGGACTTCGCAGCCTCCTCTGCTTTCCTGGGGAGCTGGAGCTTTGATTTCTCCCTGTCACCTGCAGCCTCAGCTTTCTTCTCACCGTCCGGCACAGCAGCTTGCGCCTTGGCTTCCAGCACTTGTTTGTCTGGCTCCAGCTCTTTATATGGCGGCCTGCCATCCTGCTGCACGATCACCTCCAGGACATTCTTCGGATTCTTAACGGGCTCGTCAGTCCCTCCCCGCAGTTGGTTCTCAGCGATCGCTTCCTTCCCTTGTTTCAGGCCAAGTGCCTCTTTCTGGGGATTCGGCGCAGCTGGCTCCTCCAGTGCCGGCTTGAGCAGATGATCGTTGGCTCCTCCGGGCGCAAGCTTGTTCTCATCGGATTCCTCCCGCTCCCGCCCCATGTCCACAACCACTTCGTCGTGCGGGACGGGTGGCTCGTGGCGATGCGCTTCCCCCACGGGCAGGGCAATCCCTAGGGCGGACGACAGGCAGGGTTAGGGGGCTCCAGACTGATGGCAGAAAGTAACAGGCAGCAGGTTCACAGCACACCCAGCTGCCCGCTGCTGCCCTTTTTCAGCCCCACCTTTGCTTTCTCATCAGGAGGCTGCATTCCTAACAAAGCCTCAAAAGCATCAAATACTAAATCACCTTCACTCCACGAGGTAACGAGCAGAGGTCAGGATCTTTATCTGAAATAGTCCTGCAACGTACGCCTCCCAGCTCCAAAGCTGGCACCCTTTCCCCGGGTTCCTCATTACCTTGATCGGGACGGTCAAGCTGCACTTTCTCCTCCGGCTTTCCTCTCTCCTCCTCTCTCTTGGGTACCTCCATGGGCACCTTGATTTGTGGCTGCTCCATCTCCTCCTTCTCACCCAGCTTCGGTTTATCGCGGTCGTCCTCCGCCTCCTCTACTGCCGTGTTCTGGTCTGCAAACGCAGGACAGTTAATTGCACGAGGTTACGCACGGCTGCACTACCAGTCCACCGGCAGGATCAAGGCAATTGCTTTGTCTGCTGCAACCCCCTTTACCAGCGCAAGCCGAGCGGCTATTTTCCCTCCAGCGTCACTACGGACGGGTTGAGGCTTTTGTTCTGGGGTCGCCTGTTTGTTTTCCCTACGGTGGCTTTTTATGGAGCTGCCGGCACGGAAGCCCAGGCCAGGCAGCCAGGCAGGGCCGGGATGGAGCCGGCTGCTGCTGCGAGCCCATGCCGCCAGATGGTAGCATCCTCCCGGCTCCCCCGCGCCCGACCCCCGAGCACCGGGAGACACCGAGGAGGGGGTCAGGCCACAGCCCCCCCATCGCCCTTAGCTCAAACCCTCTGTTATTTTTATGTTTTTACTCTCCTTTTTTGCACACGAGCGTTTCCCCAGCCCTTCGAACGCCGTGAGGAGGACGGGCGGGGGGGGCGGGAGGGAGGAGGGAGGAGAGCTGCACGACCCCGCAGAAGGCACGAAGTTTTAAGGAACGCGATTGAACAGGCATTAGGGGAAACTCCCGAGGGAGACGGGGGACTCTCCTCATCTCTCCCTCGAAGAGATGGGATGTTTCTGGAAGACGCATCCCAGTCAAACCAGTTACAGGGTTCAGCGCTGGAGTAACCGCGTGGAATTCGTGGCACATCCCACGGGATGGGAACGGTCCCTTCTGACCCCAGGGCGGCAGAAGACGACCGACACAGCGCAAACAGGGAGTGAACTCTTCCTTAGAAGAGCAGCAGAGGAGGAAATCTAATTGTTTCCCAGCACTGAAGTTGTTCTGCAGATTTTTTTCCATCCAACAAACTCCGAAGAAAAAAAAAAAAAAATCTATCTTCTGTAAAAAAAAAAAATTCCCAACTCCCAACTAACTCTTCCCCCCATTTGCCCTCCCCCATGCGATTTCCTTTGGGGAATTAATTCTATAAACATCTTTCAATTTTCTCCTCCCCCTCCACAGGGCTGGTGCGATTTATTACAAGATGAACTCATGGGAGAGAAGAGATTGCCACAACTTCAGCTGCGTGGGCCTTACCCATTGGGGAATTAATTCTATAAACATCTTTCAATTTTCTCCTCCCCCTCCACAGGGCTGTGGTGCGATTTTACAAGATGAACTCATGGGAAAGAAGAGATTGCCACAACTTCAGCTGCGTGGGCCTTACACAAGAAATTCAGAGTCTGGTACCCAAGGGTCCCCTCTCTCCATTGAGGGACTTCCCAGGGTTCAGCAAGTCACGGCGGGACACTCCTCCTTTCAGGAAAAAAATGGACTGCAGGAACCAGTGCCCAGCCCTGGACGGGGGCCCTGGGAAGCAGGAGGCTGAGGCCGGGGAGGGGAGCGCTCAGCACGGCTGCGGATGTTCCCAGCTAAATTCTGGCCTCGCAGCAAAAAATTATTTACTCTATTGGAGGAAAGTTTTTCGTTAATTGGTTCATGAAGCCGGGAGATGGCTGCGTTTGGAGAAGACTGCGGCGCATCTGAAACCAGAGGATCCAGAGAACCGCAACGCAGGCAGAGCCGTTCCCACGGCAGAAGGGAATGACGACACGAGGCAGCCGTGCAGCAAGATGATGTTCAAGAGGGGAAATAAAAAGGAAGGGGGGCGGGGGGAAGCTTTCCATATAAGCGGGAAATGGAGGAGTTTAAAACCAGAACCACCCCTGCGTGCACGGCAGGGTTTGGCCAGGGGACCCTGCAGCAGGTGAAACCCCCCCCCCCATGGGTCAAGGACACGACCGAGGGGCTGGGGGAGGCCCCGCTGCTGGGAGAAGCATCGATCGTAAATCAAGAGGCAGCCGCATGTTCCGCGTTCTGCAAACAATGCAAGAAAAGACCAAAACACAAACAAAACCCAAACAAAAAATAAAGGTCTCCACACCATAAGAAGACAAAGTTGCCTCCAAGCCGTCATTTGCTCAGCAGGAAACAAAATTAAGTTCATCATCAGGGCGTGAATTAACGACCTCTCACGCTGCATGGAAATCTATAAGGGGCTATATGTGGTTTGCAGAGAACAATTTTGCTCGGGATGTGTAATAATCGCTCTAACTGTCTAGTCGCCCTCCAGGTCCCTCTGGAGAGCGTTACAGTAATGCTGCGCCTCTTAATGTTTTATGAGTGGCGTTGGACTTTACAGGCAAGGGCTGAGAGGCTGTAAAAGCTTTTTGGCTTACAACAACAGGACCTGGGCGTCAGGCAGCACCAGGAGGGTTTGCTTTGCCTTGGCACAGGCCCTGCTGCCGGCGGGCCCTGCCGAGCCGCCCCAGCTCACGCCGCTCTTCGGCAGCTCCTCTCTCACATTTACAGGGCGGCGAAGGGAAGCCAGGGCTTTCTGCAACCGATTTGTGCGTATGCGTGTGCGCGCGTATGTGTTGTGGTTTGCCAACAGCCTCTCTAGGCTGCAATAAAATTTCATGATTAGCAACCTAAAAGCTTCCCTCCCCGCCCCGGTTCGGATAGTAGCAATGGTCCCAGAAAGGCATTAAATCCCTCCTCGCATGGTTTTCCTATCGCTCTCATCCACTGCAGCGACGACTGTAGCCGAAAGCTGCGTCCACACACCCTGCTCTCGGCAGGGGCAGCGAGACGGGCCCTGCTGTGCTCCCCCTGAGCCGAGGGGGATCCGGCAAAGGGACCCGGGGAGCCCCAGGGGCAGCACAGGGAATTTGAGGAGACACCACCCTCTCCGCGCAGCTGAGCGACGCCCGGAGCGTTGGCCGAAGGCTGACGAGGGACATGGGGTTCAGGATCTGCTCGTGCCGGTCCAGCTCCAGATTCACTTAAAGCGCTTCAGCGCAGTGAAATGGAGCAAGGTCCACGAGCTCGTGCTAAGGAAAACGAAGAACAACAAGCGGGGCAGCGGGACGGCGGCAAACCACTGCCCTCAAACGTGCTGAGCAGCCCTACACCCCCGAGCAGGGCGGCTGACGAGGGACATGGGGTTCAGGATCTGCTCGTGCCGGTCCAGCTCCAGATTCACTTAAAGCGCTTCAGCGCAGTGAAATGGAGCAAGGTCCACGAGCTCGTGCTAAGGAAAACGAAGAACAACAAGCGGGGCAGCGGGACGGCGGCAAACCACTGCCCTCAAACGTGCTGAGCAGCCCTACACCCCCGAGCAGGGCAGGGACAAGCCCTGCCCGGGGAGCCCCCCGCAGCCCCAAGCCCCCCCGCCCCGGCGGCGCCTCCAGGAGCCCTCCTCCCCCCCGAAACGGTTACAGATTTCACAAGGTTATCGAATGGCATCACTGAAATTAGTTCACAGTTGTCTCCTGACGCACCAGCAGTAAAAACGAACCCAAATTACAAGAGGCTGATGGGCCCTTTTCTGTGTCACAGGCACTATTAAAAGCTCGCTCGCACAAAGCACCAGGGAGAGCTGCAGCAGAGTCAAGCTGTTCCTGCAGCTATTAGGAGCTGTGCATAATCCACGTTTCACACATGTTCGGGGCTGCTCCGGCTAATAACGCCGGCGGGGACGCAGCCTGCGGCCCGCCAGGTCTCCTTT